ACCACAAATAAGCACTACCCATTGCTTATTACAGTATTTATGATATGTACATACAGTGTTCTGAATAAAATAATTAATTTCCATCTTATCTTCCAGCGATATAGACTTGCACTTAGCACTTACACTGGGACTTTTCTTTGGAGCCATGGGCAAAAATGTATTGTAAATCATAATGTAAACAAGTCTGAATTCAAAATCAGTGTTCGAGTGAAAAACAACCATAAGTGCCACCTGTCGACAGGAATTTGAAATAAGAACATCTGCTGAACATAATTTATTATGCTAATTTTTTTTTTTTTTGATGATTTTATATATATATATATATATATATATATATATATAATAGCTTTTTAAATATGATTTTATGTGTTTATTGATATTTTAGTGTTTTAATGTTTCTAATATTTTAACAGCTAACATAAACTAGAGTAAAACAACCTAAGAGGAGTTGTATTTTTCATATAATATTTAAGAAAAACTGACATATCTTCGAAAATGACTGAACTTGAAACAACTTAAGTCGAGGTATCATTGTACAGATAATGTAGCATGAAATCTCATTATCATAAAAACAAGTCTGTTTAATGATAAAAATGTAACAATGCATAAACAAGTTACTTATTCTTTTATTTACTTTAATAATCTTTTCTGCCACATAAAAACTTTTGCAAAAATACAAGCCAAATCTTCTATGATATTATTTCCAAAATACTATTAAGGATGAAATGCTTCAACAATCAAATATTGTTCTCTCTGTCTAAGCCTAGAAAAGTTATAAAATTATATATAAACATAATAATTGGAACCAGAATAATTTATATTTATTTTTAAAATACAAATTTTATAAAGTTTAATTTAAAATCTATTGAGTCTGACTTATTTCCAAATACCTGAAAGTACTAATTCCTATTACAAGCATATTTAACTTGCTAAATATGAATAGAAATTTAACCTTTTCATATGTAAATGATACATCAATGCATTTTTATACAGTAACCTTTTCATGATACATCAATGCATTCCTTATGCTAAATCCTTTTAACATAAAATACAACAACTTTACTGAGTTGGCATTGTCAAATGGAGTCAGGTGATCAGACAAAAAAAAAAAAAAAAAAGATGGCCTTGAGCTGAGATGATATAACACCTACCTAATCTCATTTGACTTTCTATTGTTATCACAGTGAGCAGTTGGCCATCTTAACTACCACTGTTTTAGGCAGAAAAATATAATACAACTATATGAAATTTAAATGTTGATGGCACATTAATAGTGAAGCCATTAATAATAACACCAGGCTTTTTATTTATTAGTCATGTTAGCATGGAATCGGCAGAATGGCACAAGTCATGTGTGCATATGAAATGACCTTGAATAAATTTGATTCTGTCTAAACAGTAATAATAAATTAATGTACTTGTTAAAGTTACAAGACTAAATTAACATTAAAGACTAAATTTGTTTCAATAGTTATACAGGGGTGTGGCAGAAACACCTCACACATAATGGTAAGACATTAAGCTATATGAAGACACCATTGCCACTGATGTCTTACCATTATGTGGGAGGTATTTCTGCCAATGATGTCTTACCATTATGTGAGAGGTATTTCTGCCAATGATGTCTTACCATTATGTGGGAGGTATTTCTGCCAATGATGTCTTACCATTATGTGGGAGGTATTTCTGCCAATGATGTCTTACCATTATGTGGGAGGTATTTCTGCCAATGATGTCTTACCATTATGTGGGAGGTATTTCTGCCAATGATGTCTTACCATTATGTGGGAGGTATTTCTGCCAATGATGTCTTACCATTATGTGGGAGGTATTTCTGCCACACCCTGTAGTTTGTTTTCAGTATATATTTTTAAAAATCTTGACACATTATCTTTTAAAATAAAAAGAATTCTAAGAATAATATGATAAAAGCCATAATGATAGTAAAAGTCACAAAATCATGTGAAATCAGTATAAATTTAAAAATTCAAGGCTCATGAGTGAACTAAACCTCCAACCAGAGCAGAGTATTACATCTATTCATACAACTAATTCATACTTGAAAAGAGAAAAAAAAAAGGTGGGGGTTGAGTTTACATATAGAATAAAGCTAAATTTATTTCAATAATCCTCTCATTTTACTTTCTTTTTTTTTTATAATCAATTCACCCCAAGAAACATAATAAGGCCACTAAGACTCAAGGGGTTACTGAGAGTGAAGGAGAATGAGAATACTTTAGAAGGATCTGGAAACCCAATTCTAAACAGAAAACAAGAGAAATGTATATTTCTGTTCAAAAGACCAGGGGGAATGTGAACCAGACGATAGGCAAACCACTCAACTACTGTAATATTTCAGAAGAAAATATATTAAAACATTAACAATATTTATACACCATAAAAATATATACAAAACAATTTCCAAAGTTAAAATTTAATAAAAGTGTAGAAATTTATAATTTGGTCCAGTTTATCTGTTTTGTGTTAAAAAAACTGATAACTGACAAATTTATTCAGTTTCTTCATTTCATAAAGAAAAATATTTAAAACAGTACTTAAAAATCATCACCTGGTTATACATATAAGTACAATGCATTTTAGTCTAACAGGAAAAAATGTCATTTCAAGACTTTATTATAAACACATTTTTTATGTTGAAAGGAGAATACACAAATAGCAGGTAAATGGTATGTTGACATCAAAGTTAATAGTAGAGACTACTGGCATTAATTAGATTTAAAAATAAATTTCAGTTGTTTCATAGGCCTTGTGCACAAGTACATTCTTATTACATAATGTGATCTGAAGAAAATAGGCTGTTGATCAAGGAATAGGACTGGTATAGTCTTTTAACTGCACCACCACATAATTTCAAATTACATTCAGGCAATAAGTATCTAAAGTATTGTTAAAGTTTCAGAGCAAAAATATTGATTCCTGAACATATCGCATACAATATTTTTTCATAGGAATTATATCTGTATATAGACACACACCATTTCTTAATAACAGCTATTTTGTAACATTTCTGGCTGGATCTCAAATAGAATAAATGTAATAATCAAGTTATGGCCTGCAAAACTAAGTATGGACAGCCATAAAACATCCTTATTCTAAGGTATTTGAAACAGTCCTGAAAGCAACACAAGTATCTATTAAAAATGCCTAGCCTTTGATAGAGCTACTGCATCATATAAACTATGGCTTTCAGAAAGTAATAAAAACATTGACTTTCATTGAATTACTCTGTATGTCAAGAAAACATTACAAAAACACACAGCTACAACTCTATACTGACTGAAAATAAAATCATAACACCCTGAATGTGTGCTTCAATTTGCACAAAATTAAACCTACAGGTAATATAGCTAGATTACAATAAATGATCACATATACAGATCAATACATGTACAGGTTCAAAATAATGGGTATGCTCTCTCATGCATATAGTTGTACACATGGTGAATACTATTCTGAGATACATTATTCCATGCTTTCTGCATCTGTTGATATGATACAAGAGTTATAGGTAGGTTAATAAAATGAGTCAGGTTTCATTCCATTATATCTCATACATCTTCAATAGAAGACAAGACTGGCAATTATGCTGGCCAAGGAAGTTGTCAAACATCTGGCAGAGTATGCTGAGTAGCATGGGTATCACAGGGATGGGCATTATCCTGCTGAAACAGTATATTGTCTTTCTGTTGTAAGGATGACAGCAGAATAAGTTGAACAATGTTTTGAACATGCATAGTGTTGTTCAATATTCCTCCACAAACACCAAAACCAAATAAGAATTGTATCTTATGGCATACTGCATACCATGATGTTAGGAATTAACCTGTGTCTTGAAGATAGCACCCACAGGTTTTTCACTTGCATAAAAGTAGGACCTGCTCTCTACAGAGTGGTATTCAACACCACAAGTGACCCTCTCATGACACCAATGGTGGTACACATGATGGTGGTGTGGTATAAGTGATATTTTGGCTAGATACATACATGTTCATAATTTTGCTGCCACTAAACAATTCCAAGTGGTCTGTATTGGCATTACTCTGGCCACATTTATTCTGATATGTGCTGCAGATACTATATGTTCTGCTACTGCTAACCTTTACAATACACCAATCTTAACAAAAATCTGTATTATGTAATCATCCAAAATGTGGTCTACAGTTATAAGAATGTTCATTTGACCACTGTTACCAACATCATTTAAAATGGTACACTGGCATAAGTGTTATCATGTTACAAGATAGCTGAAGACTATGAAAATTTTATGAAAACATCTCATGGTTTGCACATAATATAACCAGGTCAAAATTTTTATTGTTATCTAGAGTGTTAGAATTTTAGTTTTTAGTGTATATACATGTGTTAGATTTAAGTAGAAGGTTCAAAATATAAAATAGTACATATGAACTGTCTACAATGTAATAATGCATTCATTCATAGCACAGTAGAAAGTGTGTTTATCCCACTAGCTATTGCTAAGTTATTCAATGTTTACTGTGTGTTTTGTAAATGTAACAGACTATAGCTTATTCTGAATAAATCAATACCTTCATTTCTTGCAATTTAATATACCAAACAATTACAAATTACTTTTAAGTTATTTAATCTTTCCAAATCAATGAAAATAGGAAAACTTGTTTTCCTATTTTTGTCATTAAATGTTTATTTAATTTTTTCAGATGAGATGAATAAAGAGAAGTTGTTAAGTACTAAAATTAAGAAAAGAATAATTTCTTCTTTAAATTATCAAATCTATACACCAAATCTAATGTTCATATAAAGATTTAAAAGGCTGACTTTTCTGAATTCATTAACTGTGGATAAATGGAATTTCTGTCATTACAGTTTTATACTTCAACTACAAATGACAGAAATGCATGCCACAGTAAATGGGTTAATATGGTGCCCAAAAGCGCTAACATGAATAGTGATTTAAAACTGAAAATAAACAAACAGAAGATTGAATTACTGTTCCTTACCACAATGACATGTCCACTGGCCAAAGTGACATGGAAGAGAAGGACTAGATTAAGAATGGCATAGATGTATAACACTGTGATGTGGTTGGGTATTTTAGTTTCCCACATATTGATCAGCACTCTCACAGTGATCTGGGAAAAAGAAAAAATATAAAAAAAAATAAAAAAATTAATTAAAAATGCTCAATGAAAGAAAAAAATTCAAGGAAAGCAAATTGATAATAAATGAATGTTATGCAAACATTTGAAATTAAATTAAGTATTAGTATTATTTCTATTATAAAAATTTCAATAAATGGCAATTTTATCAACCTTGTTTCATTATACACACTGTACATTGAAGTAAAATACTTATAAAATTGATTTTATTTATTATAGATATATAGGAAAAAACAAGTGTTTGTAATTAATAAAAAGTCAAGTTAAATAATGAAAAAACTGAATTTTAAATATTTCTAAAATAGATAGGTTACTTTTTTAATACAGAAACATTTGTACATGCTAGGGTTCAATGATTTAAGAAATGGCTTACATTTCTCTTTATTTTGATAAGTATTTATAAAAAAAATATTAAATGTTTGCGATCAGATTCCATCACAGAACAAAGTAAAGAAATTCAAGTTAAATGCTGTCTCACAACTATGAACAACAATTAATGACAACATGATAATAACAATTAAATTCAGAAGCGCTTAAGAAATTCATACAAGTTATATCTTTTATGCAGAAAAAAATTAAGAACATAGCAAAATAGTTAGTCATATCATTTAATGCATAAAGATTAATTTGCCAACAAATTATTGGGTTTCTTTTCTTCACACTTTCTAAATTTAATGGTTTGTGCTGATTGTTGAGAAAGCAGTAAATTAAACCATAAGCAAAGTTGTAATTTTCTATAAATTACAGCGTGAATAAATACGACCATATAAAATCTATTTTCTACTAATATTTAAACTACATAGACAAGAGTAACTAGATCCAACATTAGTTAGAACTATTTCACCAGTTCATAAATTTTATTTACAGGTTCACATTAAATAAGGTAAATATGTTTGTGTATCAAAGGCACTGCTGCTTGTTATCCTGGTGCTTGGATTCAGGTCAATCAGTAGATTTTCTAACCTTGGATTGGTGTTTTATTCTTATTCTCTTCTCACGCTTTTTAAATCTACATCGCTTAAATGACACAAATACCTACAAACCTACATAAAAAATAAATTGTAATTTTATACATAAAATCTGATCAAAGTAAATATATTAAACTCAACCAAGGTTAAACTATTTTTTAAACCAACTGATCGAAAAGAATTAAGATTTCAAACATAAATGTAAATTCAAAAATTAAATTTCAAAGATTTATATTTGACTGATTTTAAAACAAAGAATACACAATAGCAAAAATGAAAAATTGATACATCAAAAGCAGCTTTAGACGAAGTAAAGAACATTAAAAGAAACTTTTGAACAAAAATAAATAAGAAAGACATAAGATTCTTTGATGATATGCAACAGAACTATACAGAAAAATAAAAATCCTGAAACATATAAAGATGATTACTTCACAAAGAAATCTTAAAATCTACCAAGAATTTAAACAGATGATAACTCAGTGTTTAATGATTGGGTAGAACATCAAGTTTACAGTTCAATGCTCTGTACTTACTAGATAAATCTTCAGATTCATAGCTGAACTAGATTTTTTTTAACGTCTCTAAATGGAAGCAAATTTTTTTTTTTTTTGTTAAATCTACAATATCCAAGGGGTAAAATATTGATATACAACTAGCATATATAATCAGCTTATTACTTCAAACAGACAATTCTACAATAACATAAGAATTTAGAGTGAGATTTATATGTATTTATCATGCAATAGTTGGTCTATTATGGTAGAATATGATACATAAATTTCTATGTATCAGAACAATATTAGGCAAATTAAAGACAAAGAGGAAAAAATTGTTTGTTTTTTTTTCCTTGGGCATAAAGTAACACCAATCTCATTCAGTTTCCCTATACTTTTGTTTTTATCACTTTAATTGTTAAATATCCCACATTGTGATAAAAGAAAATCTACCAAAAAAAAATTGAAATGTTGTAAGAACTTGGATATAAATTTCATGTGGATGAACTTGTACTTAAAGCACTTTCTATACATTTGCACCTTAGTAAATTGCTTTCTCTTTTAATTAAAGTAACATTTTTTTTTTAAATTGAAATTGTGGTCAGACTCATTATGATGAGCAATTAATAAATTGAGTGTGTTGTTTTGTAAAAGATCTCTTTTGTGTTCATATAATCTTTTGTTTAATTTCTTTGAGGTTTCTCGTATGTATTTCTTGTGGAAGTTATTACAGGTATTAGAATAAATTCCTCATTATTATTTTGTTTTGTATTAATTAAATTGTTTTGGAAATAGTAACAAATTTTTCTTTTCAATTGTAGTTGTGATAGAGTTGGTACGTAAAGTAATATATCACATTTCATTGAATTTGAGGTAATGGTTCATTTTTTATATTGAAATATTTGATGAGCCTTCAGTTTCACATTAAATATGAAATAATTAGAGTATTGGAGGAGCTTAAAAGTATTTTCAATGTATTTCTCATCATGGAAATACTGAAGGTTACAAATTCTGAGTGCTATTAAATAGAATCTGATAATTATTCCAGATTTTATTTTGTTGTTATGATGAAAATAGAAATTTATAAAACAATTTTATTATTATATTACAATAAACACTCATTTCTAAGTTATTATTAGTACAGTTTAACATGATATAGAAGAAAGGTAATGTATTGTTTGTTTGTGTTTTGTAAGTAAATTCTAATATACTTTCAATTTTTAGTTTATCTACAAGGTCAAGTAATGTTGTCTTGCAAGGATATGTTAATAGAGCCTTATCACTATATTGGAAATATGTTGATTTTTTTGGTAAAATACTTTAGAAAGGACCATATTCAAGAAACTCTAGGAACTAAGCTAAAAATCCATTATTAGGTAAAACCATCAGTAATCCAAAATTTCCACTTAGTTTTTTGACCAGGTTGCCTGATTTTTTTTTTTATTATGGATGTTTTGCAATTAGTAAAATAGATCAATTAAATAAAAACTCTGAAATTCCAAGAATACATTTTGAATATCATCATGTAATATTCAAAATATATATTTCATAATTTTTTTTTTTAATTAGAATACAAAATCCTAAGGATAAGAGTAATAACTATTATTGATAAAGGATACTCAAGATCTAACATTTCAGAAAATGAAATTGACATTGCCTATCCTCATCAATACTTGAATATGAAAGAAAAAAATCAGTAAAATAGTAATAACAAAAAAAGTGAAATGCATGTTGATATTCAAGTAGTAGTAAAGTTCCCAAAAAACAAAAAAAAATAAAAGAGACTCTTGATTTAAGAGTGAAACACTTCAACTAAGGATATTATCCACTTGTTACTAAGCAGCAATAAGCTGCTTTTATCTAAGATTATTACTAATATCAAAGGGTAATGGTTATAGAGTTAGTAATAATAGTCAACCAGAGTGAGTGGCAAATTTGATTTTCACTGGGTTCAACATATTTTTAGCTTTTACTAAACTAAGCAATGCTTACTAAATAACAGCAGTTGATAAAATTCCTCAAAATATTCATAGCAGAAACTCAGTGCAAGTGGTCAATTTATGAAAGTCATCTGAAATTTACAATTTTTTTGTATTAGTAATGGCTGGTTAATTGTTTCCAAGTATTTCCATCTACCAGGGTAGCTCGCAGATGCCTGCTAAGGCACATGTGTGTTTCATCAGCACCCACAGAGATAACCTGTGGTCTATAATGCTGAGTAGACTTTAGTTGCAGTTTCTGGCAGAGAGCACACAATCTGACATGATCAGTAGTTTAGCAAAGCCAATATATTAAAACCTTCAGTCACAATGCCTAGCATAATCATAAATGACTTTTGAATCCAATTTCACTCATAAAGATTGGGTCAACCTATAGTATATATTTTCAAGCATTTCCCAATGGTGTTACATGCTGGTATCACCTCTGCAGGCTAATTTTTATCAAAGTCACTTTCCTGGTAAGATTTAAACCCAAGTTTCAGTCAAAACACTAACGTTCTAGCCACTTGACATGCACTTATTTTTCTTTTATTATTGCTATAGCAATTAAGTGAACATACTAACATCATGACAGTAAAAGTGAAACAATCCTCTTGCTACTTGTCAAACAGACATTATTAAAACATCAGATCATTCTTATGCTTAGCAAAATATATTCTCTAATATATAATGCATCTATTTTTATATATACATTCCTTTCTGTCTCGATGGGCTTCATGTTCATTTTGTTCACCTCAAAATCTTATATTTATCCTATCAAAAATTGTCATTTACAAATTAGTTCACTCAATGTTTTAAAATGCCTTTTATCATGGAGAAATTACTTTCCCATAAAATTATAAGTAGTAAATAATCAAAGCCCTTTTGGTATTTAGAATGATATTTTCCAAAGAATATCATGCTGAAATTTCTCTATTACAATCATTTTTCTGTCTACAGCATCCATCAGTGGCAGTTTTATGTCAACTATTGGATAAGGACAATATATCTATTGATTACCAAATCAATACAGCTATGAAAAATCAAACCCAGTATGCAAATTCTTAGAAACACTTCAAATAGAATGAATGCTATGATATTTAAGTCTTGTGTACATACATGTGAATATACCTACAAATATTTCCCTAAATTAAATCTTCAGAAAGTTAAAAGATATATATATATATATATATATATATATATATATATATATATAATTTATTATATATATATATTATTGATATATGCACAGTACTTATTAAAAGCACTCAATATCAGAGATAGACCTAACATATTATATTGTATGATGATTGCAAAAGCGTAAAACCCAGGGTCACAAACTCACATCAATCCAACTAAATAACACACACACACACACATATATATATATATATATATATATATATATATATATATATATATATATATATATATATATATATTTATTTAAAAATTATATCATAAATATATTATAACATCACTACAAAAAATAGCCATTTTGTTTCAACACTTCTGGTGTCTGGTCAAGT